CCCCCCCCCCCCCCCCCTCTTAGTGCTCTTGATCCTAACAAAACTGTCCCAGCCGGGCGCCTTGTCGGAGGTGTGGGAATCGTGGAGTTCAGCAACTAAGAAGGGTCGGATGTGCAGCGGTGACCCAGGTAGCGTGCGGCCGACGAGCACACTTAGTAGGGCAGGCCGACGCATGGTATGACCTCGGTGAGCATGGAGCCAAGGAGTACGACGCAGGCGAGCTGGCCACGCGCATGGGGCCAAGGAGCCGAGAAGCCGAGGAGCACGACGCAAGCGGGCTGGCCGCGCAGGTGTCTCGGGACGCATGGAGCCGAGGAGCACGACGTAGGCGGGCTAGCCGCGCAGGTGTGGTCTCGGGCAACATGCGGCCGAGGAGCACGACGCAGGCGGGCAGTCACCCGACATTCCGGGCCCTTCCTCTAGCGCCAATCTGTTGTGGGAAACAACTTTGAGTCGTGGCCTCGGGGTCGACGCGGCTCGGTTAGGGTCCGGATGACGGGGATCTCCTTGGGGCATTCCTCGAGCTCGCTGAGGCGGTCGTCCGGAGGGGACCTTCGGCTCGCACCTGCACAAAGGTCGAGCCGAGGCTCTCGGGCCGACCCCTCCGACGATCAAGTTAGTTGATGTGGAGGGGGTTTCAAATGAAGAAGGGTTTTTGTGTGTCTGTCCCCCCCTCTCTTTAATGAACGAGAGAGTATTTATAGGGAAGCATACTGCTTCCTGAACTGTCCGCTTGTAGGGGGTAGGCTGGTAGCGTCTGACTTTGTGTTGGCGTGGCGTGAAGAATTGAGCTTTGGCAGGATGTTAATGCGCCTCGGTCGACGTTCCGGTCTACATTGACCAGGTGCTGTTGCGTGAGGCGTCATCTAACGTCAGCCGAGTCTTATCATAATTACTATCCTCATCGAAAAACAATTTGGTCAGACCAATTCATCATGGTTTGGATGATGGAATGTACAACGAAGTCCAGAAAATCAGATGGTAGATGGTTCATAATTAATTAGATCATTTAATCATTGACATTGTAAACTCACTCATAAAAGATTATATATTCGAAATCTATTAAATTTTTAAATAATAACAATTTTAATTAGATCATCATCAAACCAATAAATTTGAAAAATAAAAAAAAATAATTTTTTAATATAAAAAATATATTTAAACTTTTTGTTAAGGAGATTTAATTTATATACTATAAAATTAAAAGAAAAAAATATAATCGTTTTAATAATATTACACATGACTTATATTTTTAATATAATAAATATATGCTGTTGCCGCCGTATCGAGCCGCATTTTCCCACCGCGCGACTCTGAAGGCTAAACCCTAGTGACGTCCTGCCGCCGCTCTTGGCTGCTTTTACCCGCCGTCGACGTCCGGCAGTCGCCACCACGCGGCGTGGCCGATGTCTGCTGCCTCTTAACTCCGTCGAGAGCCCGTTGTCGTCAGCTAGCCGCGTGCGCTCTTCTCCCCGCTTCTCCCGTTTCTGCGCCTTCATGCCCAACGGTTCTCCCCTTTCTTCTCTTTCCCTTTAAGTTACAGCCGCGCAGCCGACCCCTTCTCCGAACCACTTCTTAGCCCACAGCCGGCCGCCCCTTTTTTTGGATCGATCATACTCTGCCATATTGTGATTGAAAGTTTGCCTCGAGTCAACTTGTTCACGTAGGGAGATTTGATATCTGCCAATAAATTTAGGTTGCAGCCTGTGTTTCATGTTTAATTTATTGGATTTAAAATGGTTTATTTACGTTTTCATGCATTGGGCTTGATGAGTCTTTCTTTCTCAGCAGACTCTCCTTCCTTTTGCTGCGACGACAAGTTGAGTGGCGAGTCGGCCGGTGTTTCTTGAAACCTTTTTCTGTATGTTTATTTTACTTTCATGGTATAACTTTGTCTTCTGTATGTTTTCGTGCCTTAGGCTTGATGAGTCTTTCTTTCTCCGCAAACTCTCCTTCCTTTTGCAGCGACGACAGATTTGAGTGGTTTCGTATCTTTTTGCATCAATTTTCCTTCTTTTAGGTCGGAGATTGATGGGGAAGAAAAATAAGGTCATCCTCCCTCCCAACCTCCCCCCAGAGGTCGCCGATGATGAGATTGAGGTTTCTGATGAGGATTTGGAATTCGTTGGCCGAAACCGTGAATATGTTGGATTCCTCACCAAGCTTGACACGAAATCTATAGACAGGTTGGGCATTTCTTGGCTCTTTAATCCTATTTTTTTTCCTTTGTTGTCTGTCATCTCTTGATGCAAGTTTGATTTTTGTTGGCAATAGAATGATTTTTGGATATTAGGGTTTAAGAATAATAGCTTTGGAGTGTGATGGTTTTGTCCAAATTACATTGGTTACCAGAATTTGTGTTGCAGGCATGTCAAGCGAGTTGCTAATCATGAGGATGATGAACTGGAAGCTCTATATGAGAAGCGGAACCGAAAACCTTCTCTTTTAAGACTGAAGGAGGAAGAAGATAAGCTTCAAGTTGATCCTGTTGATGCTCTTCCAGTAAAGACACTGGATGGGAAGTTGGAATACAGAACCGGTAACCACCAAACCTGGATGAATTGACTGTGGTTTTCAACTTTCTGTGGAGCACAGTACTTAGCCTAGTTTCACTGTCTTATAGATTCAAGTTTAGTAAGATGCTCCACATTTTAGTAAATCTATTTATCATATGGTTGGAGAGAGTTATATGCATTATATGATTTTAATTTTGTTATATTTTAAAATGCCCTGAATATTGTATCTTTAGAACTGGAGAAAAAAAAGAAACTAAAAGTATTATCTAAATGATCTCTGTAGTGGCTTCACTGTGGCCTCTGGAGAAAAGTAGCTGAGTAGTGTAGCTGAATTGGTTGAAGCAGTTTGATTGGGTATCATGTACACAATTGATGTTTGCGCTTCTGGGACTTGATCTCAGTGTGTTATTCTTGAAATTCCAAGAGTACTGCTTATGGACAAGTCAAAGAATTATGGAAATAAGAAGCCAAATCAGAGATTGTTGTTTGTTGTAACTTCACGGTGTACCGTGACCATGTTTTTGTTATGATAGTTGATCATGGTTACTTTCTTCTGGAAACGTACCATTTTTCTTTTCATGAGTAATTAACTTCTAAATTCATTTGTGAATGTTAGCGGAGGTCTTGTAGGATGAAAATAGTTGCATACCATATTGCATAAATTGCTCTGCTTTAGTGTAATTAATTCTTTTTTATGCATCTTGCTCAGTGATTGAAAGAGGCGCTCGGGCGGTCGCCTAGGCGCTCGGGCAAGGCGAGGCGAGGCCTGAGCGCCTCGCTAATGTCCCAGGCGGCGCGCTTCAAACAGGCGCCGCCTGGGCGCTTCGGGCGAGCGCCTGGGTAAACCAAGTGACCGAACCAGGATTTTAGGTCTGGTTCGGTCCTGGTTCGGTTATTAGTTGGTTCAATCGAACCAACTAAACCGATATAACCCTTACCCAACCCTAACCCGCCGCCGCTGCCGCTCCCGATCTCGTTGCTCGTCGCTCCTGCTCCCGCTGCCGCTGCTCGTCGCTGTCGCTGCTCGCGCCTCCCACTGCTCGCGCCTCCCGCAAGCCCTCCCGCTGCTCGCGACTCCCGCGAGCCCTCCCACTGCTCGCGCCTCCCGCGAGCCCTCTCGCGAGCCTTCCCTCTGCTCGCGACTCTCGCTGCTCGCGCCTCCCGCTGCTCGCGACTCCCGCGAGCCCTCCCGCTGCTCGCGCCTCCCGCGAGCCTTCCCTCTGCTCGCGACTCCCTACTCGCGCCTCCCGCGAGCCCTCCCAACTGCTCGCGCCTCCCGCTGCTCGCGCCTCCCGCGAGCCCTCCCGCGAGCCTTCCCTCTGCTCGCGACTAGAAATTTTATTTAAAATAGCATATTTTTATTTAAAATTTTAAATAATTATATTTATTAAATATATTATATATTTTTTATATTTTAGCGCCTCGCTTCGCTCGGGCGAGCGACTGGGCGAGCACCTAGCGCCTCGGGCGTTTTTGGACCTTGGCGCCTTTTGGCGCCTAGCGCTTTTTAAATCACTGATCTTGCTTATCATAGATTTGGAAAGTTTAATATATGTTGTTCTTTTTCTAGTGTCCTTGTGGTTGGCTTGAGACTGATTGTGGTTCGAATAGTAGATGACGCATTACAATTCTAGTTAGGATCTACCAATCCTAGCCAAACTTGTTCCATCTGGCATGTGTCTATTTGGAATCAGCTATTGACTCTTGACTGGAAAATTAAATTTTAATACCTGATCTAGTTTGGCTTAATCACACGAACCTAAGCGATAGCTTCCACTCCAGTATAACTGAATCAATCCATTTTGTTGGGCCTTCTGCTGGTCCAAGTCAATGTGAGTCCAAGTTGTTATTGTAATTTAAATATGATCTGGAAGCTTGTAGGTGTCTCAAATTGCATTTATTACCTTGACTTAGACTTTTTGCTTAAGACTCTGCAAGGTGAATCTTTCTTAAAATTTACACATCTCTTCCACAGGGGGAGCTAATAGAGGAATTTTATCTTTATCATGTATATTTTGTTGGATGAAGAATGTTTAACTAACATTGAGAAGTTTTGAGAGGCATACATAGCATTATTGTTTAATCATTAAGTTTGGCTTGCAGTTAATGATCTATCAGATATTTGAAATTTCTTCTAATCTGGTTATTGGTGATTTTGCTTGAAACTGCATTTGATGTTACTAAAGATCTGAGCAGATCACTGTTATCTAAAGTTTTATTAAAATTGCAGCTGATAGATCAAAATCTGGAGATGGAACCAATGGAAAGGAATCTGCAATGGGCATAGAAGATGATGAAAAAATTGCAGGTATGATGAAGCTTACTAAACCAGAGAAAAGGCTAAAGCTAAAAAAGAGCAGAAAAGAGGCTAAGAAGCTTGCAAAGGTGGAAGAGAAAGGAGACGGTGGTGAAGAAAAGCTGCACTCCGAAGTCTTGGTATTTTGCTCAAAATTTGTTTGACCATACATTAACGTCAACCTTTTAATATCATCATTTTTTGTGCTCATCAGAATAATGGAGAGAAAATGCTTATGCTTCGTATTTTGAATTGATTAGCCTTGTTATATGACAATTTAGTCTCTGTACAGGCATAAAATGGATGTGATTCTTTTTCATGAAGTTAATAACATTCTTAAGTTGTATCATAAACGATGACACACAATGGGTCATAGTAAGCTAAGCTACAAAATGGTTGTGATCGGGTATTAAGTTGCAGTTCTGACGTTTGGTCCTCTAGGACTGTTAGCAACTTAATATTCTATAAATAGATTTTCTTGAGTTGAAGATTGGTTACCGATACATAAGAATAACTCAAATAGTAGGAAAAATTATCATATAATGTTGCTACAGCATAAAACTTCTAGAGAATATTTTATGTTAAAAATGTTTCTGCCTTTCTTTCCCCCTTTTTCTTTTGCTTCACTTGTCTATTCTTCTCTCCCAAATGGTCAGAGAACCCTTGTGATAGTATAAGAATTGATGTCCGACCTGTGTGAAAGCTGCATCTATGGTAAGAGTTCGGCCAATGTCCTTATCTTGGCACTCAAGGCCTTTCGAGCTGTTGTTGATTTGATCCCCTAATGTTCATACAGGCTTCCTCATGCCCTCTGACATATGCCCTGCCTGGGGTTTGAATGTGCCATGTGCATGATACAAACAAAAAAGTTCAAAGTTAGCCCTTTGCAACATATGACTGCTGCTGCATGGGGCATGAATGTGCCATGGCCTGATGCTAAAAAAAATAAAAGAAACATAAGTTCAAAGTTGGCAAGAATCCACCCTACTGTTCTTTTAATAATCAAAATAAGCTATCGTTTTGTCATAATCTTAAATCATTGCTAACTTTAGTCCTTTACGTAATTAACATTAAGCTAGTTACAGACTTTTTTTTAATCTTAACAAAAAGGGAAAGTTTGATCAAAAGATTTAGAAAACCAAGAATCTCTTTATAGGTTCCTAATGGCAAAATCCAGTTGCTGCTATCTTGAAGCTGTCGGCTTCCTTAATGGAGTTGTAAAACAAAGGCATCTGACAATGTCTTGGATGAGTGTGAGTTCAAACTATAATGTATTTTCATGTCTCAGAAGTTGAAAGAGGCTCTTGTAGGGAAAGGCTGTTGATTCACATTCGAGTTTCAGCAAAAGAGGAGATGTATCAAAAAATCTGGTTAGAGTTTGTGATAAGGAACTTTGGAAGTTGTACCTTATCAATAATGTAAACTACCTACCCATGGGAGTATTGCTGCTCTTACTCTCTTTGTCCTATGCTTGTTTATTTTTTATGTCTGTCTATGTGGGACTTTACAGCTTTGTTATTGCTGCTGCTTAAATATGTTATGCCCTAAACTTGATTGTCTCTGGATGTTAATTATTACAATGCAGATTTTATCTAATTGAGCAAATTTTAACTGTCTCAAACTTAGGAATCTGGTTAACATTCTCCTCCACATTTTTGGCACTTCAAATTCTCTCTGGTTACACACATCAACCTGAGAAGAACATCCTACACATAGCGAGACCAAACTCATGATAGTGTTTCTGCTGTTAAAAATAACCTCCTACTTCACAAATTATGACTACAGGCTATCTTTTTTTCATGCTTCAATTATCTATTCTTTTTTCTCTTTTCTGGGAGTGGATTAAGTTACTTCTTTTTGACTGTGGATGTGATTTCCAGGCAAAGGTAGAGGAAGACCTTTCTGCTGAAGAGTTGTTCAGGAAAAAGAAGATTAGATTGGCAGAAATTGGGTTGCAGTTGCTGGAAAATCCTGAAGAAAATATCAAGGCCCTGAAAGAATTGTTGCAGATTTGTGATGATGAAGACCAAAATATAGTTAAACTTGGTCTGATGTCTTTGTTGGCTGTTTTTAAAGACATAATTCCTGGGTGATTGATGCTAAATTTCTTTGTTTCTCTTTCTGCATATTTTATCACTTGTTAACTAGTTTTCATTTGATTTACTGGATTCAAAATTTCTGTATCTATCTTTTACAGCTATCGTATCCGGTTACCAACTG